AATGTCCAGCCCTGGCCAGTTTGGCTCAGCGGTTAGAGCATCGGCCTGCAGTTCAGAGAGACCCAGGTTCAGTTCCCGCTAAGGGTACATACCTTGGTTGCAGTTTGTCCTCGGCCCAGGTTGTGTCGTGCGGGAGGCAGCCACTCGATGTGTCCCTTTCACGTCGATGTTTCTCTCTGTCTCTTCCTCTCTCTCCCTCCCACTCTGTCTGAACAAAAAATGGAAAAATGTCCTCGGGTGAGGATAAAACAAACAAAAAAAAGAATGTCCAGGCAGAGTATGTTACTTAACTATATACCTGGTATTGTCAAGGAACTGAAAATAATTCAAAGTAGAAATGGGTCTAGTGAGTTAGGCAAGGGTTATAACTAATGGTCTTGCAGGAATTTAGACTTTCTGTTGGTGATGGGGAATCCAAGACGGCCATGTAGTGACTAATAGTCCTGCTTCATAGATAAGGGAACTCAGGTTTTCAGATATTAACAAGATCATATAGCCTGGGCAGAGCTAGGATTAGAACCTAGACCTCTCTCTTGACTCCAGAACCTACATATGTATCCCAAATTGGAATGCCTCTTAGCCAGAAAATGAGGAAAAATGGTAGGGGGAAGTGAGTTGAACTTGGTACTTGGGAGACATCCAAAAGATAACTGGATGTATGGGTCTGGAACTCAGTAGAGAAATCTAGACTGATGATAGAAAATTGAGAGCCATCAATGTATCAATAATGATACACTGATGAGCACAAGCATTTAAAGCAAAAGAAAACTTATAAGAAGTAGCCAGAAAAGAGTCATAAAAGCTGAAAGAGTTTTAAAATGGGTGAAGTTACCTGGTAAAATGCTGGGAGGCCAGGTGAGATGAAAATAGAGAACTGCCCTCTGTGTTTAGTAATGTCATTAATGTTTGCAGCCAGTGAGTCCTTCCTGGGCCACTGTCAGGTAGGCCTCTGCACTGGAGATGGACATTGCTGAGCTGGACAGCCCCCACCCCTCAATGAGTGGAACTGCCTTAGGTGGGTGGGTGGTATTGAAGGGAGAGGGAGGCATCTGTGGGACCACTCTGTTGGATGAATCAGGAGATGGCCTCACAGGAGCAGAGAGCAGGACTGTGGTGGAGTGCCAAGGCTAGAAGAGTGCCTCTGGGTGACAGAGGACTTGTGAAGCTGCTGTCTTGTACTAATTGCCCCATGGTCCAATGCTTAGGCACTAAGGAGAGGCATCAAGAAGCCTGGAAACTGGAAAATGCCTCTGGGTCACTGGCTGGGTGGTTCAAGCACCCTGCAGTTCTTGGTCACCCTGCATGGGGAAGGCTGTGGCCACCAGAGGGCGTGCCCTGCCCACAGTGGTAGAGCCCACAAGTGGGATGTCTGGCCCCTCAGCCTTCTAGTCCCCTCTTGAACTCACTTCTTCATTCCCTCATTGATAGCCAACCCTAGTACTGGACTCTGGGAATAAAGGTAACTGGTTGCCTGGGGGAGCCCCTTCCCCCATATATTTTAGGATCTGGTTAGAAGCACCATACCACACAAGTGGCAGGGCTGGGGCAGGCACATCTTGCAGCAGTTTATGGGAGGGAGGAAGTGCCCCCTTAGGGGGTTGGAAATGGTGAAGAGGGAGTGGAGGGTTGGGAAGAGTAGGCACAGAGATGCTAAGCATCCTGTAAAGCATAGGGCAATTGCCCCAAGTGCCAGTGGGGCAGATGAGAAACTGCCAGATTAGCCCGAGGGGAGTGAGGAGTTTCTGAGAGGTAACCACAGGGAAGTGGTATAATCAGATTTATGTTTTTAGGGAGATAACTGGCTGCAGTATAGAGAAGCTCAAGTGGAATAAGCAGACCAGGAAGCAAATAATGTAATGAACCAGTATGGTAGTCTGAACTAGGTCAACAGAGAGGAGGTTTCCTCCCTCACTGACACCCAGATTTGGCAGCCATCAGCAAACAGATGGTAAGTTAAGGCATAGGAGTAGATGGAGACTGTACAGAGAATATATATAAAAGGAAAAAGGGCCAAGACACGAACTAACCCAAGGGGAGGGAGCCAGTAGAGAGTAACTGAAGTGGGGAATGGTATCCTGAACTTGGGAGAAGCCAAACAATTTTAAGAATTTTATAATTTACCCTAATAGAAAATAAAAGCTATTTAATGGCTTTACTTACATAGGTTCAGACTTGTCCTTTGAAAAGACTACCCCAGTTGCTATAATGACAATGGATTTGATGGAAGCAAGAATGGAAGACAGGAGGCCTTCTAGTATGAAGGTTAGACAAGGTGAAGTTGAAGAGAAGTGATGTCTTCAATATTTAGAAGTAAAATTGGTATATGGGTTGGTGGTGGTTTTTATGTAGACATGAAGCAGAGAAGGTTGTCAAGAATAATGACTACACTTCTGACTTACATAAGCAGATGAATTATACATTTCCATTCACTGAAATGAGAAACAATGAAAGAGAACCAGGACAAGGTGGTAACCCTGCATTCAACATGCTGAATATGAGGTGTACCTCCCAGTAGAGGTCTGGGCAAGAGAAACAAAGATGAACATAATTAGTCTAGACAAGGTAGGTGAATTCATGGATAGGGATAAAACTGCCAGAGGGGAAGGCAGCAGGAGTCCAGGAGAATTAAACGGATGGAGGAGGAAAACTAGATGAATGAGTTGTCATGGAGCCAACGAGAGTCTTTCATGTAGAAGCATAGTCAACAGAGATGGTTACTGAAGACATCAAGGAGAACAGTTTCAGAATAATGTGGAAACTACTGAAATGCTTGAGGTAAGGCAACAAAGACAAATTTAGACATTTTTTCCAGAAGGTTTGGGTTTGAAGAGGAGAAAAGAGATAAGGAAAGAAATATAGGGTTGAGGAAGTAGACACCCAACCAAGTTTGGGGGTGTTTTTTTTTTCTACACCATATATTAATGGAAAAATGAGTATGCAGTATTTTTTAAATAACATGAAACATTTCATTGACTATTATGATTCTGTTATACCATTCTGACATAATTTAAGTTTTGGACTGATAACTCATTTTTCCTAGTTTTCTTTTAAACTTGGTCATCACTGCTTCCTTTTTTTAAATTGATTTTTAGAGAGAGAACACCGGGGAGGGAGAGATAGAAACATCGATGAACGAGAACATTGGCTGCCTCCTGCATGCCCCCCACTGGGAATCGGGCCCACAACCTGACCAGGAATTGAACTGGCGACCTCTTGGTGCATGGGTCGACACTCAACCACTGAGCAATACTGGCTGGGCCACCTTGAGAGGGACATGTTGACTGGTTAGTTGCCTCCCGCAGGACCCTGACCAGGGCCAGGGACAAACCACAACCAAAGTACATTCCCTTGGCCGGAATTGAACCTGTAATTCTTTGGTCCACGGGCTGACACTCTACTGCTGAGCCAAACCAACCAGGGCCACCATTGCTTCCTTTAAAAAGAACCATTCTCATCTGGCAGGTGTGGATCAGTAGCTGAGTGTCGAACCATGCACGAAGGCGTTGCCAGTTCGATTCCTGGTCAGGGCACATGCCCAGGTTGTGGGGCAAATCCCCAGTGGGGGGCATGCAGGAGGGGGCGAATTGATGTTCTCTCTCATTGATGTTTCTCTCTCTCTAAAACCAATAAAGAAAAAAAAAACTTTAAAAAGTACCACTCTCCCACTTTAGGTCATCCTTGTGGAACAATCACACATCTTGTCTCACCATAGGGACATAGTTAAGGCTGAGCCTTTCAAAGTGCACTTCTCATGGACATTGTGCTGTATTCACTATGGATATATAAAACAAGCAAGCAGCTAGTACCTGAAAAAATCATCTCTCCTCAGGGGAGCTGTCAGAGGCTATGAGTCTGGCACTGCTGGAGGCCATTTGTCCACCTGGAGGAGAGTGCCCACACACAAAATAAAACCAAGCATCAGCTGGTACAGCAGAGATAGAGACACATGGTGCTTAAGATATGAGGCCCATACTCAGATTTTCTAGTTATATTAGCCAATAAAGGCTAAATACCCAACCATGTTCAAATGCCAATAGATGATCCAACTGAGAGGAAACATTAGTGAAAGAACTGATAGCTGATCATGGGAGATTCCTGAGAAGGAAGACAATAAAATCCAAAATACATGTGGAAAGATTGGCTTTAGCTGAAGGAGGGCTACCTTTTGTAATTTCATAGGTGAGTGGGAGAGGAGTTTTGTGACTATAGATAGGTATGTAGGTTTAGTGGTAAGAAGATAAGGGAATTCATAACCAAGTATGTGTTTTCTCTGTAAAACAAAAAGTTTGCAGTGTCTGTGAGACTCCCTAAGTCTCAAGTGGACATATCAGCCAGCAGGTGGAGTCCAGAAGAGAGGACTGGACAGAAGTTAGGAATTTGAGCGTCCTATGTAGACTGGGAACAACTCTTGGGATTCGGGGAAATCATCCATAGTTCCTAGCAGTAGCCTTGGGGGTGCTAAAGCGTAGTAAGGGAAGAAGGTCATAGGCAAAGTCATTTAGAACACTATTCCCCTACCCATCTGATTTGTAATTCAGTGCACATCTGTGGGGCCTGGGAGACATGGGTGAGAACTGCAATGTTCTGTGCAATGGTTTCCAACACAAATGAACCTCAACAAAGTGCTGAGTCTCCCTGTGTCCTGTGTTGGGCAGACAGGATTCTGGCATCATACCTGTTAGGGATGACTTCCTCTTCTTCAGGGGCATAAGAGAGCCTCTGGTGGCCCCAGTTCAGCCCCAGGACCAATCTTTTGGTGATCATGGGAGAAAAGGTTTGGAAGTTTCAGGGTTTTTCAACACCCCAGTCCTTTTCCCCTTGCTTCCAGCCCCCAACCCACCTCACCCCCAATACCACGAGGACAAAAATGGTACTTTACTGCAATGTATTTATTGCATTACTGGAGCAAGTTGGCCAAACTGTCCCCTCTTGGGGAAGGTAAAAAACAAAAAGACCAAAAAGTATCTCACCCACCTTCCCCCCACCCTCCCCTACAACTGCACAGCAATGTCTGAACACATCTGGTGACAAGAACAATTTGCAAAAGTGGTCTAGGAACTACATATGAACTGTCCCAACACAAGACACATAGTTGGCTTCCCTGTGAATCAGATATTTTTACGTGAACTACATGAATTTTTTGGACTACATCAAAGACAACAGAATAAGTTCTTCACAAGTAACAACAGGGCACCAAAGTCACATGCTGGAATTTGTAAGGAAACAAGGTTGTCACAAGTGGGTGGGGCTGGAGCAGGGCTGAGCAGCTGGCAACAGAGGGCCCATCCAGACCCTCATCTGGACCCTCTGCTTTGAGGCCACTAAAGCCTCACAGAGGACTAGTCTGGAGTCTTACCTGGCAACAGAGACCACCTTGAAAACCAGAAATTGCCCAAATGCAATTCTTGGCCCAAGAGGGCCTAGCAGGCTGGTTCCTTGCAGCAAGAGACCCATGGAAGACACCACACTGGCTCTCAAAAAAGCTTCTTTAGAGCACGAGGCCCAATATAAGTGGGAGATCCCATCAGGTCTTGTAGATGAGATAGGGTAGGAGAGTTATTAGGAAGTCCTCAATCTTGGCCAAATCAGCAGTAAGGACACAGCTACCCTGTACAGGCCTGAGCCATGGCTAAGGTTTAACATCTATGGCCAGATGGAGACAGCATTGTTCTGTGATGAACGTTCCACCTGGAATAGAGGGGCCTTAGGACCTGTGTCTAGCCAACCCCAGGCTGCTTCCATGTTGGTAGCTGGCTTCTCTAGCCAGGAAAACAATGGACCACTCTGGTCTTGTTTTGTCCCTTTACCCTCTGCTTCAGTGAGGCTGCAGTTATGATACCATGAGAGAGAATCTCAGGCCCAGATCATGGGACAGGACACAGAACTAGATTCAGATGGAGGCCGAGGCTTGCTACCAAGACCACAGAGGACAGAAGTAGCATCCCACCATCCAAGTGGTTAACAGACTGGTTCCTATGCCATTTCCACTGACTCAGGATCAAGCAAATCTGGCAACTAGTCAGAAAAAAAAACTTTTCGACTTCTCAAATGATTCCCTAGGTCTTAGTCCCCACAAAACAACAAATTCAAGAATGAAAAACAGGAAAGAAACAAAAAGTGAAGGAATGTAGGACTGAAAAAGGGCTGCCCTTCTCCACATGCCAGCCCAAGTGTAGGTAATAGATGATGCTAGCTCTCTCCCTGCACACCCTAATGACTGTCTGACAAGGAGCAACACACAGTTCAATGTATCCTTATCCCCAATTTCATTTAAGACATTGAGAACACTAAACTTTAGTACTAGAAAGGAGGACTTCCTTCCAGCCAATCTTGAGCATCTAACGGAGTAAGCAGGTTCAACACCAGGTGTACCAACAACTGGCCTGCCATTACTCAGTAAAACTTTCAGCAAGATTTCAATCTGGCAATTTGGGGAAGGGATGTGCAGCTCCTTCACTATCAGTTAAGGACTTAAAGTCAGAACAGCCAAAGATATGCCCTTTTCTTCCTATACTCATTGTTAGTAACTGAAAGTTTTTCCAAAACTTTCTTCTATGTCTAATTTCTATGTCGTGGTCCATTCTAGACCCTGTCACCAAGATAAGTGCTCAGGAAAAGCAATATTCATTTCTTTCATCCCCAAAACTAGAGCTTTCCTAGCTATAAGCCTCATGCACCGAGACCCAGATATTGGCTTCTTGTGTAGCTCAGCCAGGACACCTGACTGCACAGCTTCGGGCTCAAACAGCTGACTCACTCTGAGCCTATTATGGTTCCAGGATTGGCTCAGACAGCTGAATTCTATTTGTCAAATGAGTGCTGACTGATGGGGAAGGGCATAATGGAGGTAGGACATGCCTGCCTCCAACTCCATTTGCCTAGCTCCACTCAGCTGGAAGGCTTAAACCACATGGAGCAGATGATCCTGGCCTAAAATCAGGACAGTTTGTGCACATCTCTTAATATCAGGATCACAAAAAAGGCAAAGAGTAAAGCTTCCAGATGATTTCTACTAACAGTCCAAACTCCAAACCATTCTTTCCTCTCCTTACAAAAGTTTTAGAAACCACTATATGGAAGCACATGGGTAATATGGTATGACCCTTGCCCTGGACACCAGAGCCCCTGGGTCTATGATTTACTGAGGTCCCTGACCACAATCTGGCTCCCTTCCTGCTACAGCCTTAGCAACCTATGTATGACCCTAGCCCTACCCAGCAAAGGATAGGCAATGAGCAATTAACCATGTTCACTGTTTCTGCAGGGCCTTTAAACTTGGGGAAGCACATATAAGACTGTTGTTCTATATCATTATTTGGTATATCAAGCCATCTAAAAGCACTGGATTGCACCTTTTCTTTACTCATACAAACAAGTTACAAAGGTTTTAGACAACAGATCATTCTTTAGGCTAAGGAAACAACACACAAGCACCAACTTCATTTTATGATTCAAAGCTCACCATGCCCACAAAAAGAACACTATTCTTCATCTCTGAGAAACAGGGCAGAGAGGTTACATTGACCAATTTTAGTGTTTGCTAAAACTAACACATTCTAGCTTTCTTTTTATTTTCAAGTTTTGGTACATAAGTGTGCATTCAGACACGAGTGTTGCCTTCTTCCATCAGACCTCAATCCGGCAACAAACACTTTTGCTGGGACCAATTTGGTTTCTAAACAATGCTTCTTTAGAGGGAGGAGCTATGAGACATTGATGCCCAAGTTATGTTGGTTAAGAAATACAAGGCCTTCCACTGAAGGGTTTTTACCTCCTTGACTGAGAGTTCATAGACGAAATCCCAGGCCTCCCCATTTTCCTTTGGTTGTCTTTTTCACCGAATGCCATTCTACCACAGAACCAAATCGGCCTTCTCTTTGGGAGAAAGTTAAAACAGACTGCCAGATCAAAACAGAGCTCCCCACAGAGCCATGCCCCTACCTCGTTCTCAGAGTTGAAGACCCAAAGAGGACATGGACTCTTAAGAAGCTTCCAGATACAACCCTCCCACCCCCCTCAAGCTTAATGTGTTCTGTTGAGGGTGCCTGGCTAAACAAACAAACAAACAAACAAACAAAAAAACAATGAAACAGACTTCCCAAAAAAACATCTGCTTCCAGCTTCCTATGCTAGTGCAGCAGCACCACTGGGTCCCAGAGAATCTCAGGCCCCTTGCGCCTGTGTCCTGGCCAGCTGCTGCTCAAACTCTCCACTTCACATTCACAGAATCACTTCTTGTGCAAAACAAGCAGTCTACGTAGAAAGAATGCCCTCATAGTCTAATAAAAACTGTAGAAAAAAATGCTAGAGAGCCACTTCTCTTCCCACTCCCTCTTTATCTGCAGAGCGAGGGCATCTGTGCATGGACAGGGTAGGCAAGCCTGACGTTGAGGGAGTCGTTGTGCTGAACGAGGGAAGTCTGCTGGTAATGGAGCACCAGCTCCTTCAGTGAGCTGTACAGGTTGTAGGGCTCTGCAAAGCCATAGCCCCGGGCAGTGCTGTAGATCACACAGTGTTTCACTTCCCCATCGGCACTGCAAGATACAATACACAAATACCACGGAATTAAGGCAAAATATAATAAAGGGACCCCAAATGACCAGAAGTCTGAAAGCGATTGTTCTGTAAAGGAGGAGCAGAAATGTTTTGTCAATCAAGCTTATAAAATGTCACATCCATGTATGTCCCCCTCACTCCCTTATAGACCTGTCACAAAGATATCCTTCGTCTCCCACCAAGACCTGGTAAAGCTAAAACAGATGACTCCATTTAATCACTCAGCTCTGGCTCTTCATTAGGCAAGAACACTGCAGAGGGGCAGAACCAAAAAAAAATATTTTTTAGTGTATAAATCAGTGGTTTTTAGAATATTCACAAGGTTGTGCAACAATCATCACTATCTAATTCTAGAATATTTTCCTCACCCTAAAAAGAAACCATGTAGCAATCACTCTGTATTCCTCCCTCCCCCCAGGCCCTAGCAACTAATATACTTTCTATCTTCATGGATTTGCCTATTCTGGACATTTCATATAAATAGAATCATACAATATCACACAACTTTTTGTACCTGGCTTTCACTTAGCACACTATTTTCAAAGTCTCCCATGTTGTAGCATGTATTGGTACTTCATTTTTTCTTATAGCTATTTGAATAATATTCCATTGTGTGGATATCCCACATTTTGTTTATCCATTCATCAATTGATGGACATTTGGGTTGTTTCCACTTTTTGGCTATTATGAATAATGCTATTCTGAACATTTGTGTATGAGTTTTTTTCAGTTCTCTTGGATGTATACCTAGAGTGGAACTGCTGAGTCATACGGTTTAACTTTTTAAGGAACTGCCAAACTGTTTTCCAAAATGGTTTCATCTTTTTATATTCCTACGAGCAGTATAAGAGGATCTAATTTCTCCACATCCTTACCAACACTTGTTATTGTCCATCTTCTTTGTTTTATAGTCATCCTAGTGGTATCTCATTGTAGTTTTTTTTTTTAATATTTTCTCTCTATTGATTTTAGAGAGAGAGAAGAAGAAGAGAAAAACATCAATGAGAGAGAACATTGATTGGCCACCTCCTGCCTGCCCCGCACTGGGGGATTTGGACCACAACCTGGGCATGTGCCCTGACCGGGAATTGAACTGGTGACCTCTTGGTGCATGGGTCGATGCTCAACCAGTGAGCCACAATGGCCAGGCTCATTGTGGTTTCGATTTGCAGTTTCCAAATGGTTAATGATATTGAGCATCTTTTCATATGTTTTTTGACCACTTATGATATCTTCTTTAGAAAAATGTCTATTCAAATCTTTGCCCATTTTTAAATTAGGGCATTTGTCTTTTATTGAGTTCTTTCTTTATTAGACACTTTATTTATTAGACACTTAACAGACAAAAGATTTCCAAATATTTTCTCCTATTCTTTGGGTTGTCTTTTAACTTTCTTGACAGTGTCCTTTGATGCAAAAAGTTTTTAATTATGGTAAAGTCCAATTTATTTTTTGTTTTGGTGTTTGTGCTTTGGGTTTGTAAGAAACTACTGCCTAATCCAAAGTCACAAAGAATTATGCCTATAGCTTTTACATTTAGGTCTATAATCCATTTTGAGTCAATGTTTTTTATATGGTGTGAGGTTAAGGATCCAACTTCATTCTTTTACATGTGGCTCACCAGCTGTCACAGCATCATGTGTTGAAATGACTATTTTTCCGCCACTAAATGTCTAGAACCTTGTTGAAAACCAATCGACCATAAGTTAAGAATTTCTTGACTCTCAATTCTGTTTACTGATTTACATGTTTATCCTTATGTCAGTACCTCACAATTTTGACTACTATAGCTTTGTTGTAAGTTTTGAAATCAGGAGATGTACTTCCACTTTTTTCTGTTCTTTCAAGATTATTTTGGCTATTGTGGATCCCTTCATTTTTACATGAATTTTAGGATCATCTTGTCAATTTCTGCAAAAATCCAACTAGGATTCTTTTTTTTTCTTTTTTTTGGTACGTGCCCCTAGCGGGAACTGAACCCAGGACTCTCTGGTCCGCAAGCCGATGCTCCAACCGCTGAGCCAAACTGGCCAGGGTGCAACTGGGCTTCTTGAAAGGGATTATATTGAACATGTAGACCAATTTGGGGAGTACTGCCATTTTAACAATATTAAGTCTTTTTTGTTCCATGAACACTGAATGTCTTTCCACTTATTTAGATCTTCTTTAAGTGCTTTCAATGATGTTTTATATTCTTTGTATAGCTCTTGTACTTCTTTTGTTTTAGTCCTGTATATTAGTTTTGATGCTATTATAAATAGTGTGTCTTCTTCATTTCATTTTCAGACTGTTCATTTCTAGTACATAGAAATAGAAAAAAATTTTGTATCCTAATCTTTTAACCTGCAACCCCGATGAACTCTTTATTTTATTCCTTTCCAATCTGGATGCCTTTTATTTTTCTTGCCCAATTGTCCTAGCTAGAACCTTCTGTACAATGATTATTAGAAGTGGTGAGAGCAGACATTCTTGTCTTCTTCCTGATCTTAGGGAAAAGCATTCAGTCTTTAACCATTAAGTATAACACTAGCTGTGGGTTTTCCACAGACAACCCTTTATCGGGTTGAGGAAGTGCCCTCATATTCCTAGTTTGTTCAGTGTTTTTTAAAATAAAAGAGTTGTTGGATTTTGTCAAAGGTTTTTTGAGTCTACTGAAATAATCATGTAATTTTTTGCCTTTATTCTATTAACATGGTTTATTGCATGAATTGAGTTATGTCGACTTGCCTTTGCATTCCTGGGATGAATCCAACTACATTTATCTATAGTTTTCTTTTCTTATAACTCTGTCTGGGTTTTGGTGTCAGGGTAATATTACCCTTATAAATGAGCTGGGAAGTGTTCTCTTCTATTTTTTGTAAGACTTCGTGAAGGACTTGTGTTAATTCTTTAAAAAATATTTAGTAGACTTCACCAGTGAAGCCATCTGGGCCTGGGCTTTTCTTTGTGCATAGTTTCTGTTTTAGTTTTAATTAATACTTCAACTTCTTTTCTGGTTATAGTGTTTTTCAGATTTTCTATTTCCTCTGAAGTCAGTTTTGGTAGTTTGTGTGCTTCTAGGAATTTGTCTGTTTCATCTAGGTTATTTAATTTGTTGGCATATTACTGTTTTATAGTATTCCCTCATCATCTTTTAAAATGTCTGTATTATCCTAAGCAAAATAAGCCAATCAGAGAAAGACAGATACCACATGATCTCACTTATTTGTGGAACATAATGAACAAAAAAAGCTGATGAACAAAACAGACCCAGAGACATAGAAAGGAGTACAGGTCAGACTGACAAACTTCAGAGAAGGGGATGGTGGGGAGGAATGAGATAAACCAAAGAATTTATATGCATGTATGTGTAACCAATGGACATAGACAACAATGCTTGCACGGTGGGGGTGAGGGGTGCGATAGGAAGGAGGGTGTCTGGGGGGGGGGAGGAGAAACATCTGTAACAAAAATAATTAATTAAAAAAATTTCTGTAAGGACTACAAGTAATGTCCCCTCTTTCATCCTGAGTTTAGTAATTTGTATCATCTCTCTGTTTGAGTGTGGATGTGTTAATTTAGCTAGAGGTTGTCAATTTTGTTCATCCCAAGTTTTGGTTTCATTGATTTTCTCAACTTTTTTCTATTCTCTATTTCATTTACTTCCATTCTGATCTTTATTATTCCTTTCCTTCTGCTTGTGTGGGTTTAGTTTGCTCTTCTTTTGTGTTTTGGGTTTTTGTTTGTTTGTTTGTTTTAGTTTCTTAAGGGAGAAGAGGGTTAGGTTATTAATTTAAGATCCTTTTTTTTTTTTTAAATCCTCACCTGAGGATATTTTTCTATTTATCTTCAGATAGAGTGGGAGGGAGGGAGGGAGGGAGAGAGAGAGAGAGAAACATCGATGTGAGAGAGACACATCAACTGGTTGCCTCTCACACGACCCTGACTAGGGCCAATGACCAAACTGCAATTAAGGTATGTGCCCTTGACTGGAATCAAACCTGGGATTCTTTGGTCCATGGGTCAACACTCTAACCACTGAGCAAACTGGCCAGAGATGAGATCCTCTTTAATATAAATGTTTACTTATAAACTTCCCTCTTAGCACTGCTTTGGCTGCATTCCATAAGTTTTGATATGTTGTTTGTTTTTACTTATCTCAAAGTATTTTCTAATTTCCCTTTTTTTTCTTTTGTCCACTCATTATTTATGGGTTTGTTTGTTTTTATCCTCACCCAAATACTTTTTTTTTTTTTTGCGTTTATCTTCAAATAGAGACGGGGGAAGAAAGAGAGAGAAACATCGATGTGAGAGAGACACATCAATTGGCTGCCCACCCACACGACATCAGCTGGGGCCAGGGATGAACTGAAACCAAGGTACATGCCCTTAGCGGTAACCAAACCCAGGACTCTCTGGTCCGTGGGCCGACGCTCTAACCACTGAGCCAAACCGGCCAGGGCTCCACTGGTTATTTAGGAATGTGTTTATTGTCCACATTTGTGAATTTCCAAAATTTCCTTCTGTTTTTTATTTCTGATTTCTTGTCCATTGTGGTTAGAAAACATTTTGTATGATTTCTATCCTTTTAAATTTATTGAAACTTGTGGTCTAACCTGTGGTCTATCCTGAATAATGTTTCATGTGCACTAAAGAAGAATGTGTATTTTGTTGTTAGGTGGAATGTTCTAAAGATGTCTGTTAGTTCTAGCTGTTTTATAGTGTTGTTCAAGTATTCTGTTTTCTTCTTTATCTATTTAGTTATTCTATCCCTAATCAAATTTTGTATCCTAAATGACAATAACAATAAGGATCACTAGTGCTCACAATTTGACTCCTTAACTTAATGGAATATGTGCATTGCTGGCTACAGGTCTTTAGCCCCAGAAGGCTGTGAAGTTAAACAATTTATTCCAAGGCTATTTTATGATGTCATTAACAGAAATTAAAATGGAAAAACAAAGGAGTTCCGTGCCTTTACTTCCTACTACATGGTCATTTTAATTTTTCTATGAGAGTCTCCTAAAAAACTGAATTTATTCATGTCCCTACTTCAGCAAATATTTTATATACATTGGGAGATCACTGTAAGCAGGCTTCCTATAGCCAGAGTGGCTAGCAAACAAGTTAAAGTCTTTGTGATGCCAAACTCTTTTGCTTCTGAAAATCTTCAATGTGAACTCCAATTTGATATATGACTGCAGTTGGATTTAATAAGCAAGGGAAAGCCACACTGCTGTGGACTTTAGTTCTAGTCAAGTCTGTGGCTAAAGAAAGGAGAAAAAGAATACAGCTCCCTAAAATATTCAAGTATCTCCTTAGTCTCCCTGAATTTTTATGAGCCTGCCTACCCAATGACCTCAGGTGAAGGTGAGGGACCAATGCACTGGGATTATTACCTTCCTTCTTTTATTGTTCTTAAAAGATCTCAAATACTGCAAGAACCATCCTCTCCTGCTATTTCCACTCATATAACTTGAGCAGTCCATGTTTCGGAGAAATGAAATGTTTTTCAAGTAGCTCTGTCTTTGGTAAACAGTCATCCAATGTTTCAACTCCTTCCCCATTTCCTGCCCATAAGTATCCCATTCTTCATCCTTTCAAAGTTCAGCTCAAATGCCACCTCTTCCACAAAACCTCCAATCTTTTCTTTTTCCACAAGAATAGTTCTTCGTGTGTACAGACAACTAATGATTCCTATCTCACAGTGATTCCACTTATATTTAATTGTGAAATGAAGTGTGATGCAAAAGGAAAATGTGGGCTTTGAAACCAGGTAAACTTGGATTCAAACTCTGACTCAATGACAGAGGTAGACCAACAAAAGACAAAATGATCATGTAAAGCAATGAGCACTCTGTTAATATGAGTGTCTTCTTTTTATTCTCACCAACTTGCCCTCTTTGAGGGGAAAATCACTTTGTCATTTTTGCTTGCCTTCTGTCATGTCCATCAGTACCATCATTATCACAATAATATAGTGGGTAACGTTTACTTATGTGCCAGCACTAATCAAAGCACATTGCATTATATGTATTAACTCATTTTATACTTACAAAAATCTTACCCTAGGTCACATATCTGGTGAGAAGCAGAGTAAAGATTTGAATCCAATACATCTGGCAGCAAAGCTTGCTCTCATAATCATCATACTAAACCTCCACTCTAAGTATGGTCTTTGTTAATGAAGAAATTTGCCTTTCTAAGGAATATACATAATGCTTTGGCAAAATCTGACCAATGCGTAGTTAGCTTCCCCCAGAATTTCACTTTCCATTAAAAGGAAAATAGGCTTTTCCAAACAAAGTCATAAAATGATCTTATGGAAAATATCCAACATTTTCTATCACTACCCCAACAGAATACTATTTAAGTACAAAATTTATATAGTTTTTCTTCTGAAGTAAAAACAGTTCTATTTAATCAAGCCTTTCTAAATCTGAAAATGAAGAACAAGTTAAGCATGCAGGAGACTGCTAAAGAATTAATTGATCTTTTCAATGAAAGACTGCACATTACTTTTCACAAATACCTGAAATCTAATAGCAACACTGCAAGGCCTAATCTACTTACCATTTAAATTAAAACCCCAAAAATAATTTCAGATATCATTTCTCTTAAAGCAAGTGGTTTTGTTTTTTTTTTATAAAATATTAATGGTCTAAGCCATAGGCTCTCCTTATTGTACCTGAACTAATTTGATCTGAATTTTATGAGAGACTGATTCTCTCTTAATCAATGCAGTAGTTTCCAAAAGGTCGTACTCCCAGAGAAGACTTACACCACAGAGCAAGCATAACATCCTTTCTTGCTACTCTCACGAATTAAGAATGCACCATCGGGTTTCCCATAAAGCAAGTCCTCTGCTTGTACTCGATTGATATCCTCAACAAACCAGGTTTTCTCATCATAATGGGGCAGGTTTTCATCTTCCTCATTGATAAAATAGGTCCTAAAAATTAAATGTTAAAATATTATTCTAACAATCAGGTTACTTATATCTAAAGGCAAATTCACAAATAAAACTCTCTTCTAAATCTTTAACCATAAAATGACAAAATGAAATTGTATTTAGCTGGATGCTTTTTAACAACTTCATTACTTGCTATGGTACAGAAAGCACAAATTTCATGTCTCATCCAACACATGTGTATGTCTCCATGATCAAAGCATTTGTTTTATGTGATTTGCAGGTCTCTGAACTCAAGCCTATAGGGTACTCTAGAAAATTCAATTTGAAAGAAAAGCAAAGTTCTTGATTCAATGTCCTCAAATGACAATGAAAACCAACATTTGGCATGTATAAAGAAGGTCTATGTCTTATATTGGAAACAAAGCCCTCTGACAGAAAGGTACAGAGGGAACTTACTCATCAGCATCCTCATTCTTGATTCCCAGCCAGGCATTTAGGCGTTTCTGCCTCACTCCTTTGTGATTGAGCCATCTGCCAGAGGGAAGACACCAGTGTCAGTATCTGTGCAAATTCTGCTTGGACAAAGTAGACACGACCAAGCCAATCAAACTTGCAGAGTCCATGAACTTATTTTCCAGTCCTACTGAGAGTGGCCAGAGATTTCCCTAAACTAGTTTCTCCATTACTTTTCCTTCAACTGTCTGCAAAATGGTAGAAATACAAAGAGCTACTTGAAATGAGACACTTCTCTCACTTTGAATTTTCCTTTTCCAGAAGGTTTTACCACCACCAGCACACACATACTTACATTCAAACACAGTGGGACACATATTGCTCTATTCCTGTGTGGTCTACTACATTGAGTTTAGAAATTAAGAGTGGCAATCTGAGTACTTAATATACATTTACTTCATTACCAGGCAAATCATAGTATTTTAAAATACAGCGACATTTTAAAAAATTATTTTAGAGAAAGAAATATTGATTTGTTGTTCCACTTATTTATGCATTCACTGGTTGATTTTGTATGTCCTCTGACGAGTGCTTGAACCCACAACTTTGGTGTATCAGGACAACACTCTAACCAATTGAGCTACCTGGCCAGGAAAATACGGCAACATTTTAGATGTAAAATGATATAAATCACTGAGATGGCTGATGGTCTAAAACTTGACTATACAAAAACTCTTTCATTGCCGACCCCCAACCAGGCTTCTGATCATTTAAGTCTCATCATAAACTATCCTCACTGTCCCAACTAAGGCAATCCCCCAGTCACTCTCTGCACTTTACCATCTTCACAGCATTTGCCTGGAACTGTTTTGTACTTTCACTTGTTAATGTTTGTCTTGTGGACAAAAAAGGGGCCACATACTAAACCTGACAAGCTCAGGGGAGGCCAACATGGCGGTCTTACAAACTCAAGAGATCGAAAGTAAGCACATAGAATGGTCTGAAATTAAAACTTACTAAAAGCAGTTCATTGCTGGTAGTAATGTCCTAGGGTTATATTTTTCCCTAACGAAGGTCAATCTTCACCTTAACTGATCCTGTCTGTTGTCTTTGTGTGTGTGTGTGTGTGTGTGTGTGTGTCTATGATAGCATATCTAATTTCCTTTCCCCCTAAAACCCTCAAAGCACAACCACCACACCAGAGCAGAAACCACAAATCCCCTCATGGTTATCATGTTCATTGTTAACTGTTAACTATCCTATACCCACCGATGTAAAAAAAGTATGTGTCTATTTGTTCCACTTCAAAAAAAATTTTTTTTTCTTTAATGATTTTTAGAGAGAGAGATAGAAATATCGATGAGAGAGAATATCAACTGGCTACCTCCTGCATGCCCCCAACTGGGGATTGGGCCCACAACCTGGGCATGTGCCCCGACCGGGAATCGAAAGGCGACCTCTTAGTCCATGGGTCGATGCTGAACTACTGAGCCACACCAGCTGGGCTTGTTTTACCTTTTTTTTTTAATCCTCACCAGAGGACATTTTTGCATTTATCTTCAGATAGAGAGGGAGGGAGAGAGGGGGGAACAGAGAGAGAGAGAAACATCAATGTCAGAGAGACACATTGAGTGGTTGCCACCCACACAACCCCAACCAGAGCCGGGGACAAACTGCAACCGAGGTCCGTGCCCTGAGCAGGAACCGAACCTCGGACTCTCTGGTCCATGGGCCGACGCTCTAACCACTGAGCAAAACCGGCCACGGCTTGTTTTACTTTTTATCCAATCCCAGAGATCCCCCTCTTTGCTTTCTCCTGCCTCGCTGTCTCCAATGAATTTCATGTAATCCCCTTATACCTCTCCTCCTTTGTAATGTATAAAATAAGGTGCAAAACAACCATTCTCTGGAGCATTTTCTCAATCCCTTAAAATTTTGTTTGCTGGCAACTGTCATCAATTTGGCTCAAATAAACTTGCACAAATTCTTACAGGTTTGGACATTTCTTAAGCTGACAGTCTCCTCCACTAAAATGTAAGCTACTTTAAAGAAAGGAGTCTACTCTACTCATGGTTAATCCCAATGCTGAAAAGAATGCCAGCACATAGTAGATATTCAATAAATAGTCGGTAAATATTTGCTGATGGGTGGTTTTCTGTGTGTTTGTTTGTTAATCCTCACCCAAGGATATTCTTCCATTTATTTTCAGATAGAGTGGGAGGCAGAGAGAGGAAGAGAAAGGGAGAGAAAGAGAAACATCCACATGAGAGGAACACATCAACTGGTTGCCTCCCACATGACCCCGACCAGGGCCAGGGACTAAACTGCAACTGTGGTACATGCCCTTGACCAGAATCAAACCCGTGATTCTTTGGTCCGCGGGCTGACACTCTAACCACTTAGCAAACTGGCCAGGGCTGATGGGGTGGTTTTAATAAATCTTCATGGTCAACTCTAAGGTCATTTTGTTTTTTGGGTTTTATTTTTCTTTTTATTTATTTTATTATTTTTTAAACTTATCTTTATTGTTGAATGTATTACAGATGTTCCTCATTTTTCCCCCATTGACTCCCTCCCCACTCGTGGCCCGCACTCCTACTTTTCCCCACACTGTTGTCTGTGTCCATTGATTATGCACATATGCATGTAAGTTCCTTGGTGTATTTCTTCCCACCCTCCAACCCCCCTTCCCTTTGAGGTTTCTCAGTCTAGCAACCAATTTGTACTTCTTAATCCCTCCACCTTTTTGACCCATTCCCCCAACCCCTCTCCCATCTGGCAACGAACAAAATATTCTCTGTATCTATGAGAATGTTTCTGTTCTACCTGTTCATTTTGTTTGTAGATTCAATTGTCGATAGATATGTATTCATTGCCATTTTGTTTGTTCATATTTTTTATCGTTTTCTTCAAGAAGACCCTTCAACATTTCATATAATAATGGTTTGGTAGTGATGAACTCCTTTAGCTTTTCCTTGTCTGGGAAACTCTTTATATGGCCATCAATTCTAAATGACAGCTTTGCAGGATACAGTAATCTTGGTTGTAGGTTCTTTCTTTTCATCACTCTGAATATTTCTTGCCACTCCCTTCTGGCCTGCAAAGTTTCTTTTGAGAAATCAGCTGACAGTCTTATGGGAACTCCCTTGTAGGTAACGAACTGCTTTTCTCTTGCCGCTTTTAAAACTCTCTCTTTGTCTTGGACCTTTTGCATTTTAATGATGATGTGTCTTGGTGGGCCTCTTGGGGTTCATCTTGTTTGGGACTCTCTGTGCTTCCTGGACTTGTATATTTGTTTCCTTCATCAAGTTAGAAAAGTTTTCTGCCATTATTGTTTCAAATAGGTTTTCAATTTCTTGTTCTCTCTCTTCTCCTTCTGGCACCCCCAGGATGCGAATGTTAGCATGCTTGAAGTTGTCCCAAAGGCTCCTTACACCATCCTCCTTTTTTTGGATTCTTTTTTCTTTTTGCTGTTCTGATTGGGTGTTTTTTGCTTTTTTACATTCCAAATCAATGGTTTGCTTCTTGGCTTTACCTACTTTGCTATTGAATCTGTGTAAATTATTCTTTATTTCAGTTATTGCCTCCTTCATTTCTGACTATGCATCCTTCATTTCTGACCGGTCCTTTTTTATGCTCTTGAGGCCCTCACTAAGTTCGCTGAGGTTCTCACTAAGTACACTGAGCATCCTTATAAGCAGTATTTTGAACTCAGCATCTGTTAGGTTGCTTATCTCCATTTCACTTAGTTCTTTTCCTGGAGTTTTGTTCTGTTCTTTCATTTGGGACCTGTTTCTTTGTCTCCTCATTTTGGCTGCCTCCCTGTGTTTGTTTCTGCGTATTACTTAACAAGAGGTATGGGGCTAGCTGAGACCAGATGCTGCTTGTTTGAAAGAATTTAGGGAAACCTGAAGCAGGATCCAAGACAGGCCAATCCTATGGTAAAGCAACTGGCAACAGCTTGGGTAGGCCCGAAAGTTGGGTGGGGCGGGGCCTCAGGGAATCACCAGGGCGGGGCACCCAGTGTGAGCCAAGTTACTGGAGTCCCAGATATGGCGGCTGTCTGCCACCCCAAGGAAGGGCTCACCAAAGGAACAAAGGCCTCTGACAGCACGTCTGCCCAGTAGAAAGCCCCCTCTTCAGCCCTCGCTCCAATGTCAAACAGCTCAGTTCTTTCCTGTATGTCTCTGGTGCCCCTCAAGTTGCTTCCCCTCTGAGCTTAGAGGGAGCAAGTCCAGGTAAGTCTGTGCGTGGGCCCTTTAAAAGGAGCTTCCTGGGGCTCCAGCTGCCTCAGCCTCCCTGAGCCTCAGTTCCCGCTGGTTTTTCCAGCCAGAAGTTATGGGGACTTCTCTTCCTGGCACTGGAACCCTGAGCAGGGCCGCCTGATGTAGGGTGGGACCCCTCAGTCCTCAGGGAGGACCTTCCCAGCCAAGGAATCCTGATTTTTATCCACCACACATGGGTGTGGGACCAGCCCGTCGGCCTCCACCCCCCCTACCAGTCTTGATGTGGCTTCTTCTTTAATTTTGTAGTTGTAGAACTTCCATTCAGCTTGATTTCAGGAGGTTTTGAATAATGGTTGTTCTGTAGTTTAGTTGTAACTTTGATGTGGTTGTGGGAAGTCACGATACAGCGTTTACTTATACTGCCATCTTGACCGGCTCTAAGGTCATTTTGTGTCACTGACCTCAACTACATTAGATAACTTGAAATCACACCTAATTTTTAAGTTCTTTTAGACAGATTTCATAACCTTTCTAAATAAGACATATCCTTCAGTTAACCTGGATTTCATTTCATATGCTTAGTGAAGCCAGAAAACATGATCTTGCTAAATTTATTTAGTAACAAAACCCCTCCTACACCATCACTTCTGTTAGCAAAATAACCAGATAACTTCTTATAAATACTCTTATCATCCAAACTTTTCTATCCTTAAAAAGTTGATCTTTCCTGCCCTGGCTGGTGTGGTTTAGTGGTTAGAGTGTCGGCCCAAGCTTCAAGGGGTTGTGGGTTCAATTCCCGATCAAGGGCATATACCTGGGTTACAGGTTTGATCTCCGGCCCCAGTCGTGGTGTCTACAGAAGGCAACCAATCAATGTATCTCTCACATCAATGTTCCTTTCTATCTCTCTCTCTTTCTCTTTCACCCACTCTCTCACCCCTCCCCTCTCTCCCTCCATTCCACTCTCCCTAAAAATCAATGGAAAAAATACCTTGGGTGAGAAATAAAAAATAAAGGGGAAATTCTTCTGCTGGATGAATGCCCAATAGAAGCTAAGATGGCAACCGTGAAGAGGCAGTGTCTAATCTGGGGAAAAGACCAGATTGGTTAGGGGGAGGACCCAGCATAAGCCCGCTGAAGGATTAGAAAAGAAAGTGGTCAGTTTGAAAGCCCAGGTAATACAGTCAAAGCTTAACAAAGGCCTCCCTAGGTAACACACATCTGTTCACTGTTCGTTCCTGCACTTGACCACTCGCACCTCTCATGCGCAGCTCAAAGCATGGGCCTAGATACAGCAGCCCAGTGCCCCCCTAATGTAGCTGGGAACAGAGATTAATCTAGCAAATGGGGACAGAGACTGAACTGGACTAAGCTTTAGCATGGACCAAACTAAGAATTTCTGGACCCTGGTCCTTTTTCTGGGCTTGATGAAGACAAGGCTAGACTTCCTCCACAGCTGAACCACCTGACCATGGATGAGACACAGACTCCAGGCACCTGGAAACAGTCTTTTGTGTTGCTCCATCTTCAATAAACCTTACCACTACACCCCATCCTCCCATGCATGGTCCCCAAAATGCTTCCACCAGCAACAACAGCAACATCCAGTTCTCATCCTACTAACTGTGTGGTTTTGACCAGCCTCTGCTTATGCCTCAGTATTTTCTTACAAAAAAAAAAAAAAAAAAAAACAAGAAAAATACTACTCCCATAGCTAATTTATGATGAAGTTATATTAAGGAAAACAAGAGAAAAAATAGCTGGTGTGAGTATTTACCTAGTCCCCAACCCAGCAAGTAGGGGGAAAAAATATGTATATATGGTATCCTTTCTAAAGATCTAATTAGCCTTACTACCCAACTACCACCCACTAAAAGAAGAACTTGTATTTCAGTCCAAGGAAGAGGATTAAATTAGGCAGTCCCTGAGAGAGAGGAATACAAAAAAAAAAAAAATACAAAAAAACTCTGAAGCTGAAGCATAAGTCCTAGAGGAGAAGTTATGCTTCCCTAAAGCCTGGCTACATTACGAGCTGGGGTAACAGTAAAGGGTGCCCCATGCACAAAGCACCTTGGATGAAGGACAAGAAGGTTTTAAGATGCAGAGTCTGGCCCTGGCCGGTTTGGCTCAGCGGTTGGAGCGTTGGCCTGCGGTCCTGAGAGACCTGGGTTCGGTTCCCGCTAAGGGCACGTACCTTGGTTGCGGTTTGTCTCTGGCCCTGGTTGGTTGTGCGGGCGACAGCCACTCGATGTGTCCCTTTCACATCGATGTTTCTCTCTCTCTCTCTGTTCCTCTCTCTCCCTCCCACTCTACCTGAACAAAAAATGGAAAAATGTCCTCGGGTGAGGATGATAAAAAAAAAAAATTAAAAAAAAAAAAAAGATGCAGAGTCTGCTGGTGACCAATAAGGAGATCACTGTGAAGTACACCTCTGAATTTTCTGGATCAGCAGTATTTAACCAGATGGCAGGACCCAATGGTTAGGAGCAAAGGAAGCACCCAATGATGGCAGTAATGGGGGACAAGGGACTTCTGATCCACCAGTTTCCTGGCAGTACTTCATGATGAAATTCTTATATGATCTAAGTGTGTGTATATGTGTAGGAAGTAGAAAGAGTCCTAAATCATTACTGAGATAAAATACTTTTCATATAACCAGTCAGGTAGAAATGTAGAATAAATTAATTCAATGTAAAGAAAAAGAGGAATACAACTTGTCTTACACCAGATTTTATAATCAGAACTTCACATTCCCTACATAAAAATAACATATAAGACATTTTGAAATAAAAAATCAGTTTAAAAAAAAAAGTTAAGTTATGAGATAAATTAAGGAGTGATCCACTACTTAAGATAAAAAAGACCATCACTGGTGGAAATGTAAAACAGTGCAGCCACTTCAGAAAAGTCTGGCAGTTCCTCACTGTTTAACTCAGAAATTCCACTCCTCAGCTTCTACTCAGAACTAAAAACTTATGTCCATACAAAACTTGTACACGGTTTGGCTCAGCAGTTAAAGCGTCAGCCCACGGACTGAAGAGTCCTGGGTTCAGTTCCAGCTAAGGGCACATACCTCGGTTGCAGTTTGTCCCCGGTCTCAGTTGGGGTAGTGTGGGTGGCAACCAGTTGATGTGTCTCTCTCACAGCAATGTTTCTCTCTCTCCCTCTTCCTGCCTCTCTCCCTCCCACCCTATCTGAAAATAAATGCAAAAATGTCCTCGAGTGAGGATAAAAAACAAATTGGGGTCATGCAGGTGATAACCAGTCTTCTCCACCACCCCCTCTCCTTCCTCCCTCCACTCTGTCTAAAGATAAACGTAAAAAATATCCTTAGGTGAGGATTGGAAAAAAAAATTTAATTAAAAAAAAAAAAGCCTGAGTCTATGGAACAGTCAGGTCTTTACTCTGTCTTCTCCTGCCAGGAGTTTGAATTGAGTTGTTTTACAAGCATGAAACCCATAAACATATTCCGTAACAGTCTATTCATTACCTAGAACTAAATTTATTTTCCTTTCTCATGTATTTTCTCTTTGAAGCTATCATTTCTCTACCCACAATTTGTTGTGATATCTTTTCAGCCATATTTGGATAATATCCCTAAAACAGTTGTCCCTCGCCACGTTGCACTTCGACCTTCGCAGCTTCACTCTACCGCAAAGCGCAAAGTGGCGAGGGACAACTGAATAAATAAAGCATCCTACTTCGCAGAAATTCATTTATCGTGGTAGAGTCTGGAACTGATTAATCACTATAAACGAGGGCCAACTGTATCTAACTAAATCATATAGTTTTCCATAATATTAAAAAATTGAGTTTTACTCTTCAGATCAAATTATCTTTCATGCTTGTTATCAACACATTTCTATTACTTAAATACAGAGTTTCATTTATTAAATATAAAACCCTTCAATAGATTGTTCTGTATACTTTTCTACAGGCAAATGTCCTTGCCTTTCCATTTCTGTGGTTCTAATATATAACCAAAGATTCTGGTTTTTGTGTTTTAGGCAAACATTATTCTGTACTTTTTAAGCTACATCACTTTGTTCATGCCACAGCCACCCTCTGAGATTTCCAAAGCATTTTTACAAATTAGAATCCTACAATACTCCCAACACAATGACTTTAGGTAAACTCTAGTACCCCTACTACTAACAAAAACACTTTCCTACATTCTTACTGGCCATTTCTTAATTACAAATCTGTTCTTCTACCTCTGTTTCTAGTGCCAGCAGTAACCTGGTGCCAGTGGTTCCCTCCCACAAAGGCCCGCACTACTTACACAAGGTGCTGATCACGGATCTTGCGCAGCTGAATCAGGTCAGGTTTGATACTGTTCATTTTTTTATCTATTTCCCGGTTGTCCAAAGCTTGTTTCTTCAGATCCTGCTCTAGACGCATTTTGCTATCATGAATCTCACCCAGACGTGATTTCAATTTGTCATAATTCATCATAATTCTGTGAAAACATTCGACATATTAAGGCTAAAATAGGAACCAAGCAGAAGCATTCTATAGTGTGAACAGACTCCTATTATCTTTTTCTTTTTTAATCCTCACCTGAGGGTATTTTTCCATTTATCTTTAGAAAGAGTGTGATGGGAAGAGAAAGAGAGAGAGCCAGAGAGAAACACGGATGTGAGAGAGATACACATCACATCAATTGGCCACCTCCTACATGCCCGCCATTGGGGATTGGGCCCACAACCTGAGCATGTGCCCTGACTGGGAATCGAACTGGCGACCTTTTGGTGTATGGGTCAATGCTCAACCACTGAGCCACACCAGCCGGGCAGAGTCCTAATATCTTAAGAGTGGTCGACATCTGCTGTATTTTCCTGGCCCGTAGCCATTAGCACTCTTCTGGTAATAGCACTCTAATGGTCCCTGTAGTATGGGTTCCCTTCCCCCATTTCAGATTCACAGGTGAACATCCACACAACCCAGCTTGGCCCATAAAACTATCCCATTCCATTCTATCCATACTCTCAGGCAACAGTGACTGGTTTACAAATAGGAGTAATACCCAAATTGACTCAATAAGAATCAATTCTAGGACTTTTGCTAGAACTATTGTAAACAGAGCTTCTCTTTCCACTGGGACTGCTGAATTATGAATCTGTATTTGATTCTAGGGACTCCCCGCTGCTGTAATTCCACCTCACTGGGAAAGCCTGCCTGAGGATGAAGCCAACACAGAGAAAATTGGAACCAAAAGGGTATGAGAGAGGATCCTGATGACCTTGTTTGGACTTTGGATCAAGCCATGATTGAACAAGTAAAACTATATGGATGATATCAAGAGAACACAATAAAGCAATTAAGAGCAACTTTGCAGTCAGCTGGACTAAGTGTGAATCTCTGGCCTAACACTTACTGTGTGGCTATGGGCAAGTTATTTAAAATCTCTGAGCTTTTGCCCTGGCCGGTTTGGCTCAGCAGTAGAGCTTCAGCCCATGGACCAATGAGTTGTGGGTTCGATTCCAGCCAAGGACAGGTACCTCAGTTGTTGTTTGCCCCAGGCCCTGGTTGGGGCCTTGCGGGAGGCAACCAGTCCATGTGTCCTTCTCACATTGATGTTTCTCTCTCTCTCCCTTTCTCTCCCTCTTTCTCCCACCCATTCTATCTGAAAATAAATGGAAGAATATCCTTGGGTGAGGATTAAAAAAAAAAATGTCATCATGTTACTTTACCTCCCATTGCAACTAAACTACAAGTTCTTCTCTATTTCTTTGTTATTAATAATTGCCATTTATTGACAGCATATACCAAGATACACTCACACACACATAAACATGCCTTTCTATATCAAGAATATGTGTATATATGTGTGTGGGTGCATCACTTAATTCTCATAGCATTTCAACAAGACATTATCCACAGTTTATGGAAGAGGAAAACAGGCTTGAAAAATTAAGTAACTCACCCAAGGTCACACAGGTAGTAAATAGTCAACAAAGAATTCAAACCCATGGTTTTAACTATTAAGCTATACTGCCTCACAGCACTTAGCCCTATTCTTCTTTTTTTAACTTTTTTTTCTTTATTGATTTTGGAGACGGAAAGAGACATAGAAACATCAATGAGAAAGAACATCGATTGGCTGCCTCCTGCATGCCCCCCACTGGGTATTTGGCCTACAACCTGGGCATGTGCCCTGACAGGAATCGAACCGGCGACCTCTTGGTGCATGGGTCAATGCTCAATCACTGAGCCACAATGGCTGGGCATTAGCCCTATTCTTTTGCACACAGAAGTTCACTAACACTTTGGTGCTAATATGAAAAATAATTTTGCTTTCCCCTTGCAGAGGATTCATTTTTATTTGTTATCCACTTCTTCACTCCTCAACCCATTGTCATCTGGCTCAGTCTTCCAATATTCCACTAAATTTGCTTTGTTTTGTTTTGTTTTATCCTCACCCGAGGACATTTTTTGATATTTTGTTCAGATAGAGTGAGAGGGAGAGAGAGAGAGAGAAACATCGACGTGAAAGTGACACATCGAGTGGTTGCCACCCACACGACCCAACCAGGGCTGGGGACAAACTGCAACCAAGGTACGTGCCCTTAGCGGGAACCGAACCCGGGTCTCTCCGGACCGCAGGCTGACGCTCTAACCGCTGAGCCAAACCGGCCAGGGCCCACTAAATTTGCTTTGATAAAGGCTTACAATACCCTTCGGTTGTCGGATCCAATACTTCTCATGCTGCTCATTCTCCCTGTGTAATCTCATTCTTAGCATCTGAACTCCAAATCCAACAGCCTTTCAGACTACTCCACTGGGTTCTCACAGGAGCCTCATACTCATTGGTTCCAACCCCAAACTCTCCTCATACTCTCTATTTTGGTGGATAACACCATCCCTTAGTTACTCATATTCCTTAGTCACTAGGAATAATCTTTGACTTATGCCATACCTATCATTCCTGGTCAGGCCTCAAGTCCTCAGCATTTCCATTAACTCCACCTCCTTCCCTGCCATTGATCTGGTTTAGGGCCTCACCATCTTTTAACCTGATGATGACAAGACTGCAGCCACCTACAACAGTCAGGCTGCTCTTTTTGCCCCACAGTCTTGTTCCACCTCCAATTTATTCTCAGACTGCTGCTATTGATTTTCAGTTCCACAAATATTCAACAAGTATCACTTTGTACTCTCCAGTACCATAACAGGTGCTGTAACTATCAGGAAAATAAGCCAACATCCTTATTTTCAATAAGCTCACAGTCTAGTGAGTGGGACAGTCAGTAAATATTACAGTAGAGATCAGGACCAATACTGTAGGAGTAGGGACAAAAAGTCCCCAAACCAGTCCAGAGAATCAGGGAATATTTTCTAGAAAAAGAAAATAAAGCTGAGTCCTAAAGGGTGAGCAAGAGTTAACATTTAGGAGGATGGAGAAAGAATGCAGAAGAGAGGAGGTTCAGTTTGGTGCCATTGGTGGGAACAGCAAGTATTTCCATATGGAAGAACTGTGCAGTTTGAGGGGTAAAAGCAAACACAACAGAGATTATTGGGGAAGAAAGGACATCTTGTCTCACTGACGCACTTGGAGGTACTAGGGAGATTTACCGTTCAATTTCCTTTTCATTCCCCTCTCTGCGAAATCGCTCAATATATTCTTTGCGATATTGTTCTTGTGTGTGACACTGCTCTTCAAATATTTTAATTGTTTCATTAAAAGCTTCAATTGCAGTCCTCTTCATCTGTATTTCCTATAGGAGAGAAAAAGAAAGACACACTTTATTATCTTTGTAGCTTTGTTACAATCCCATGTAAGACTGAATTCAGAAGGCTAACCCAGTAATTTTCAATGTTTTTCATCTCATGGCACACATAAACTAATTACTAAAATTATGTGGCACACCAAAAAATATATTTTCTGCCTATCTGACAAAAAATAGATGTAATTCTGATTAAGTAACACCAGATGGCTATTGTTGCATTGGCTGTTGTCATTTTTTTAATTTGACAATCTAAGGAAAAAGAAGTCAGTGCCCCCAACTAAATAGTCAGGTATTGCATGTTTAAAAAATTCTTGCAGCACACCAGTTAAAAATTGATAGGCTAAAACCCTTATTACTTATATGCAAAGCATTCATTAAAACCCTAAAATAAAAGAAAAAGAACTATTACATGAAGTTATAGCTGAGAACACAGAAAAGCCTCTGAGTTGCTAAGCAGGATTAACCCTGAACACCTTGAAGACAAAGATGAAGTTCTGTCTTTGCACCTATTGTAGTGCTGACCCCAAAAGGTCCTGAAGGAGTGAATGGATAGAGCTGAGGAGTTCATGCACCAATGTGCAAAGCCTTATTCACAGAAGAACGCTATAGAGTCTACTTAGTCTTACTTTCATTTCTAAAGCATGCAGTTTTCAAAATAGAGTCATCAGTAGATTAATCTGATTAGAAGCAGAAAATAAAAAGGGGAAGAACAGTTGCTAAAATCAGATGCAGAATAAGATGTCAAACTAAAAACTCCACAAAACAAAAGCCTAGCAGGCTAAGCCATTCAGCACTAGGGTAAGAAGTCCTATACATTTAGATGGAGCTCTGAGGGTATTCGTAGACTTTATCATCTAAATCATGATTCGCCTAAAATCTTCAAAGAGGATTAGATTTTGTTCAATTTACTTTAGAAACTCAAGAAATGTATATAAAGGTCTAGAAAGATTACTATCCTAAATGTTTACAATTTTCAAAGTTTTGTTGCTTATGAGATAATTCCTCAACTATGCAGCATTGATTGATTTCAACAAATGATTACTGAAAATCCACTATACAGGAAATAACATATGGTGATAAAGAGATTCGTAAAACAGGGAGCCTACCTTTCAGGATTTAGACTACAGGTGAAATAGATTTCTGAACTCTAATAGGTTTTGTTTCACGTCATGGTGGAGGGGTGGGGTGATTTCAAGTGGGGTGAATTAGTTAAGTAATTGCTTTACAGAGGTCTCATGGAGAAGGCGGCATTTGAAGAATTAAAGAACTGTGGTAGGAGAAAATGAAGCATTGCACATATTTGTCATGGCATGTATATGAAATATGGGATGTTCAGGGATAAGCAAATACTCAGTAGGGTTGGAACATAAGGGGATTGGCTGATGAGAGAAGCTCAAACCTTTAAGATATTCCATATAATTGAGGTTATATCATATATATCTCAAATAGTACTAAAAACTTAAAATGACCATATCTAAATATTTAGCTACAAATTCCACAACTCTGAAATTATAGTACAGGATCCTGGCTCCCTTGCAAGTTTAGAAATTACTTACAAAGTTCTGGCCCGGTATCTACAAAGAAAATACCAAAAATCTAGACTTCGACTAACACTGATATATGTGTTGATAGATAGAGCAGCAAATGGGAAAGTATTTGATATTACAGCCCAAGCAGCAGCTCCCCCATAAATAATGCCACTATACCACCTGGCCAGTGTGGCTCAGTGGTTAAGCATCGATCCATGCACCAAGACGTTGTTGGTCAATTCCTTGTCAGGGCACATGTCCAGGTTGTGGGCCTGATCCCCAATTGAGGGCATGCAGGAGGCATCCAATCAATGTTCTCTCTCATTGATGTTTCTATCTTTCTCTTCCTCTCCCATCCTCTCTCTCTAAATATCAATAAAGAAAAAAACAATGCAACTATACCAACCACCAAACCTATAAACCTACCTGTATGTACACTGTTTCCTTCTTCTTCTCTCTCTTTTTTTTTTATTAATCCTTACCCAAGGACATTTTTCCATTTTTTATGCAGGTAGAGCAGGAGGGAGAGAGAGGAAGTAAGAGAGGGAGAAACATCGATGTGAAAGGGACACATCGAGTGGCTGCCACCCGCACAACCCAACCAGGGCCAGGGACAAACTGCAACCGAAGTACATGCCCTTAGCGGGAACCGAACCCAGGTCTCTCTGGACCGCAGGCCGACGCTCTAACCGCTGAGCAAAACCGGCCATGGCTCTTCCTCTTCTCTTTATCTACTTGTGCTCTGGGTCTCAACTCCTCTTCCTTTCTCAGGTACTTCATCCATCACATCAGCCAGCCTCTCTTACACCATTAACTACTCTCCTAGTCTAATGATGGTTCCTTCTCATCAACATACAGACAAGTTCTAGTTACACTACTCTGAGAAAAAAAAAAATCCCTAACCCTAAATTCTTTCCCAGTCCCAGTTAAGCTTCTCTCTTTCCTCATCTCTCATTCACACTCAAACTGACTCTGTTTTGGCTTCTGTACTCACCATTCCACAGAGACTGCTGTTCCAAGGTCACCAATGATCTCATTGCCAAATTCCTGTCTCCTATCCCAATCCATCAGTAAGTCATATCACTTTTCATCCTAATTTTTTGTAATCCAGATGTTAAATAGCCCCACATACAATCTATTCTCACCCTGTGCCAACTCTGACTCAGGACACACAATCTCTTTCCCATTCTCTGGAAAGAATTCACTTACATCAAAACAAATTAGGTTTTATCTAAGATTTCATAGAAATACAGAGGAAGTCTATAACATTTATAAACACTATAACACATGGAGGTCTATAACATTTATAAACACTACAACATTTATACAAAGAGGAGGTCAATTCTTTAATCTCTGACACTTATTGTCCCAGTACTACTAATTACTGGATCCCTCCCTCTCCTCCCCCACCTCCCAAAGCTTGAAGTCTCCATGGCTTTCTGTACACAGCCCCATTTCAGTCCTGCTCTGAATTCTCACATAAAGAAATTTAGCCCTCTTCTAACTTTGATCTACTAGTGGCTTTTTGGTTGCCTCCGTCTTCCCGCTCCTCCTCCCCCACACCCAGCTCTCCAACCAGGGCTTCCAAGTCCAGAACCCAGTCTTACATCAGCTGCTCAAAACTCATAATCTGCTGTGAAATCCTTAATATGACTAAGCATGTTTCCAGCATGTGGAGCTTTCTCTAGCTGTGTCAGAAAAGAGAAATGTAGCTCTATACAAGCCAAAGCCACATGCAAGAATAGCCATTTTTTTTCTAGCCTCTATTCACAGGAGAGTTAGCCCTCCCCTAGATTCCACTTCACACCATAAGTCTGACTCCATGCCCTTGCCAAAGGGAGTGCTTTTGGTTCATTATCTTGTATAAATTAATTCAACAAATATGACCACTAACTATATGCTAAGCATTATTTGAAGTGTTTGGGATACATAAGTGAACAAGCTTAAAGATTTTTGCCCTCACCCTGGTCGATTTGGCTCAGTGGTTAGAGCGTCGGCCTGCGGTCCAGAGAGACCTGGGTTCGGTTCCCGCTAAAGGCACGTACCTCAGTTGCAGTTTGTCCCCGGCCCTGGTTGGGTCGTGCAGGTGGCAGCCACTCAATGTGTCCCTTTCATGTTGATGTTTCTCTCTCTCTCTCTCTTCCTCTCTCTCCCTCCCGCTCTATCTGAACAAGAAATGGAAAAATGGCCCTGGCCAATTTGGCTCAGCAGTTAGAGCGTTTGCCTGTGGTCCAGAGAGACCTGGGTTCGGTTCCTACTAAAGGCACATACCTCGGTTGCAGTTTGTCCCCGGCCCTGGTTGGGTCATGTGGGTGGCGACCACTCGATGTGTCCCTTTCACATTGATGTTTCTCTCTCTTTCTCTTCCACTCTATCTGAACAAAATATCGAAAAATATCCTTGGGTGAGGATTAAAAAAAAAAAAAAAGAAAGAAATGGAAAAATGTCCTCGAGTAAGGATTAAAAGAAAATTTTTTTTTTGCCCTCCTGGAACTTATAGTTTAGTGAATTATACAGACAATAAATAACAGACATGGCAAATAAATAAACGACATAGTTTATTAGAAGGTAGGAAATGTTATGGAAAAAAAGAAAAGTAGAGTGGGGAAGGAAGGTTGGAATGTGAGTTGTAATTTTAAATAAAATTGTCAGGTAGGTCTTAATTTGATGACAACATTTGAGCAAAAACTTCAAGAAGGTGAGGAGGTTAGCCATTTGACTATCTGGGGTCAGGGGGATGTGTTTCAGGCAAGGAAACAGCCAGTGCAAACACACAAAGGTAGGAAGCAGGTGTAGTATATTCAAGGAACAACAAGGAGGCTAGTGGGCTGTGCCATAAAGAAGAAGAGAGTTTAAGAAATGAGGTCCAAGAGGAAGAGGGGCACACAGATCATAGTGGACATTACAGAAACAACTCTGGCTTTCAGTCTGGGTAAAATGTAGAACCAGAGCTGGGTCTTAAACAAAGGAGTGCTGTGACCTATGTTTTATAAGTATCACCTAGCTGCTATGTTGAGAACTGATCAGTGGAAGCTGATAAATAAGGAAAGGAAGCCCGCCTAGGAGGTTTCTGTGGCAAATCAATGCAAGAAATGATAGTGGCTTAGATCAAGGTATTAGCCACGAATATAGTGAGAAGGGGTTGAATTCTGGGTATATTCGAAAGGTAAAATCGCCCAGCCGGTGTGGCTCAGAGGTTGAGCATCGACCCATGCACCAAGAGGTCATCGGTTTTATTCCCAGTCAGGGCATATGCCCAGGTTGTGGGCCAAATCCCCAGTGGGGGGCAACAAGGAGGCGGCCAATCTCATCCATCTCTCTCTCTCTTCCTCCTCTCTCTCTAAAATCAATAAAGTAAAAATAAATAAATGAATGAATGAATAAATATAAAGTCAACAGGAATTGCTGATGGATTGGATGCAAGTTATAATACAAAGAATCTATTGAATGACTTCAAGGATTTCGACCCAAGTAAGAAGGAGAGGATTGCTCTCAATAAACGGGAAAGGCTAAGGGTAGAACAGTCTGAGGTGAAACATCAGAGTCAATTTTGTATATATTAAAATCTTCTAAACCTCCAAGTGAAGTTGTTGAATACATAGTTGGATGTATGAATATAGAATTAAGAGAAATTGCAAGGACCAGAGATATGTTTGGGAGTTACTGGCATATAGATGGTATGTAAAGCCTTATGAGATTGTTTGAAATTACCAGAGAGTAAATGAGTAAGTAGAAAAGAGAATGCTGGTCCAATAGCTCAGTTGGTTATAGCGTTGTCCCACTGAATGCATAAATAAATGGAACAACAATTTAATGTTTCTCTTGCTCAAAAAAAAAAAAAAAAAAACTGGAATAAATTTTGGGGGAAAAACGAGAGAGAAAGAAGATAACCGAGGTCAAAGAGGAGAAATAAAAATAAATAAATAAAAATAAAGAAGATTGAGAAGGAACAATCAGGGAGGTCCAAATCTCAATTGCATCTGCTTATTTTCAGATCTGAAAGCTCCATTTATGGTTTTTATTATGGATTCCTGTTCTACCTCTAATCTATAGAAATATTCATATTGGCTTTGCATACAGCCATGTGCTTTTAATGCTTATCATTTTTAGTGGTAGATATAACATAAGTGCATAAAACAAATGCACAGCTTAACAAATTATTATAAAATGAACATCCACTACCAGCACCCAGGAAATTCCCTGTGCATCCTTTCTGGATCATAACTTTCTGCTTCTTCCCAATCCACCGCCCCTGACTTGGTGATAACACTATCCTTTATGATGATCATTTCCTTATGATTCTTTACCACTTTATGTTCCCATCCAAAATAAAAAAGTTAACATCTGCCTGGTTTTGTACATTATATGAACAGACTTGTATTATATGTATTCTTTTGCATTTTTTATTCAATATTCTTTGTGAGATTAAACATAGTGTTGTATGTTGCCCTTACTATATTTGCGTGTGTAAGCATACACACACAAGAACAGTAATCCATCAATGCTTTGTTTGATGCAGAGGAAAAAAATTAAAGTATGACATTTTGACTAATTCACATCGTGTTTAACAAATATTGTCAGAGTACTTCAAACTTTTGAAGAACAGGACCTCATCTCTCCCTCTGTGTTTCTGGAGTCAAGCATAGTATCAGGCCTAGACTAGGTATTCAATAAGTAGTTTTGGATGGTTATACTGACCTTTGTAACCAGATTCTCTGCCTCTGTCTGTCTGTCTCTCTCTCTCCCCCACACACTACTCAAATATAGTTGGGGTTACCATTATCTATCTCCACCTTACAGTTGGGGAACTTAAAACATAGACAGAATCTTTCAAGCGATACAAGTAATTTTCAACATAACCAGGATTAGAAAATAAACCTCCTGAATTCTAATTCAGTTCATTTTATATATTTTAAGAAGGTAATACATGCAAACAGAAAAAATAAATCAAACAATATTAAAGAATATATAGTAAAGAGTAAGTCTTCTTTTGGACTCTCACTGCCTTAATTATCTTACCCAGAGGATATATCAGTTTCTGAACAGAGACATTCTGAGTACATATTAACGTGTACACATATATTACCCTCTATACTCTTTTTTTTTAACCATAAATGACAGTACACCACATATAATTTTCTATAGTTTACTTCTTTTTTACTTACTATATCTTAGAAATCACTCCAAATCAGTAAATATAGACCCCCCCCCATAGTTACAGAAGACTTTCTCCACAGCCCCTGCAGCTTTAGTTGTGCTCTGCAACTTTGTCTATACAGTGGGAGGAAAGTGGAAGTAGTGTGTGTTTCTAGCAAGTAGCCTTAAAATAGGGAACATCCCTGCCCCACCAGTGTGGCTCAGTGCTTGAGCATCGTCCAATGGACTGCGAGGTCCTGGTTTGATTCCCGGTCAAGGCATATGCCCAGGTTTCAGGCTCAATCCCCGGTAGGGAGCGTGTAAGAGGCAGCCGATCAATGTTATCTCTCTCACATTGATGTTTCTATTTCTCTCTCACTTCCTCTCTAAAAATTCAACTAAAAAAACACATAAAAATAGGAAACTTCCTTTCCCTTTCCTATTCTTCCTTCCCATTTGCTAGAATATGGTTATTATGGCTATATATTGGAATAAGCCAACTTCTTCAGATAGTAAAGCATCAAGACAGAAGGACCCTAGTCCCTTATTACTGTGGAGTCACCATAAAACCCCTGAACTGCCTATCCATGAAAGAAGAATAAATTTCTATCTGAAGCCTTTGTTGTTTTATATTTTTTGTCACTTGCAAGCAAATCTTATTCTAATTAATACTAACTGATATAAAATATATCCTTAACCAATAAAAAAGTGATTTATGAATGAGAGAGGAATTTATATCAAAGTCTTAAAAAGGCTATTTAAGACATGAAGATCGCTAAAGATTGTCAAGTGAAGTAAAGAAAATCTGATATAACTTAATGTTGCATACTGGCCCTAAATTTAAAAAATATACTAACCTGGGATGTTCTGGTATATTCTTCATATAGCCTGTCATACTCTTTACTCTTTTCCTGATATTGAGAGTGGTACTCCTGAAGTTTTTTACCTACTGCATCAATGTTATCTTCTTTTACGAATTGATCCTGTGCAGGTAAACAAAGAATGTAAAGAATGTCAACAATTCTGACATGAATTTTCACATCTGTTTATTTTTAAATTGCATTTCTACTGTAAATTTAAGCCACTGGATTAATATTAAGTATGCAAAAGCACTAAATCCTTTTGTTAACACTAAGATCAGTCTTCTTATCACAACAAAATAGTTAATACTTTAAAGATCAAGAAATAAAGTACAAATAGAAAATATTAAAGTATTTTTATATAAAGTTAATAAATACATGAACCAAGCTATTAATATTTGCCACAAAATAAGTTCTAAAATTCTTAAATCTTCAGTATAAAATTTTAAATGACTAGGTTTTTGTTTGTTTTTTAACTCATAAGCCTGGTAAATTCTAATAAAAAAGTAATCACTTGCCAAATAGCTATAAGGAACTTGTGTAATCATACCTGTTGGTATTTGGACACTGGGTACATCAGCTTCACATCAAGTTTGGGATTGTACTGAGCAAGTGATTCATGATGATAGTGATTAATGAGTTCCACCACAGAATTAAATGTCAGAGGATCAGAAAAGCCATATTTACCATCTCGATGATAGATCTTTATTAACTTATTATTGCCTCCTTTCCTGTGAACAACAAAGCAACAACTATAGATTTTTTCCCCCCAAAATTCTAGTGAAGTACGACTTTCATTATGAAGATATAAAAGCTTGATGTCATGCCTGGCCAGTGTGGTTCAGTGGCTGAGCATCAACCCATGAACCAAGAGGTCATCAGTTCGATTCCCAGTCAGGGTACATGCCCAGGTTGTGGGCCTGATCCCCAGTGGGGGGCATGCAGGAGGCAGCCAATCGATGTTCTCTCTCATCGATGTTTCTTTCTCTCTCTCCCTCTCCCTTCCTTTCTCTCTCTAAAATCAATTTTTTAAAAAGTATTAAAAAATAAAATAAAATAAAAGCTTGATGTCACATAATAAACAAGTTTTGTTATGTTGAGGCTGGAACAGGTGAAAAGGCATTGATAATTATGTGTGTAAAAATATATGTAATGTTATTTTTACAACTATTTATTTTGTCTATAAATATCTTGCTTACTAAAGGTCAACATACCTATAAAGCATTCAGTATCAACAAATTTGGCAAAAATAATCACTTAAGAAAAGTACCATACATATGTTTTGTTTTGTTTCTGAATGAATTATCTAATTTAAATTTTATCAATATATTTTAAGAAAGTATAGAAACAATCTCTTGCTTTTTTTAAATTGATTTTTGAGAGAGAGGAAGGGAGATGGAGAGACAGAAACATCAATGAGAGAGGACATTGATTGGTCACCTCCTGCATGTCCCCCACTGGGAATTTGACCCACAACCTAGGCATGTGCCCTGACTGGAAATCGAACTGGTGATCTCTTGGTGCATGGGTCAACGCTCAACCACTGAGCCACACCGGCTGGGCTAGAAACAATCTCTTTAGGACCTAAAGCTTAGTGGTTATGTGTCTGTGAAGGGAAGCAGAAGCCCCCTCTGTATGAAGGGGGATGATAAACATTTGTCACACAATCACCAACATACTCAAGGTTTTATTGTCTATAGCCACACAAAATCAAGCTCCTTGAATGATTTATAACTGAGTAATTTATCTAGCATCTTACATTATTTTATCTTTCATATTTGCTTATAACTCTTGGAAATGACTATTTAGGCCATCACAATATATAAATGATTCAACTGTTATTCAACTGTTCTACAAAATACAGTTTTGGAAGAGCCATTTATATTAGATGAGTCTAATTTGATTCTTTTTTTTTTTTAATCCTAACCCGAGGACACTTTCTTCCATTTTTTGTTCAGATAGAGTGGGAGGGAGGGAGGGAGGGAGGGAAAGAGAGAGAGAGAGAGAGAAGAGAGAGAAACATTGACGTAAAAGGGACACATCAAGTGGCCGCCACTAACCAGGGCCGCATGACTAACCAGGGCCGGGGACAAACTGCAACCAAGGCACACGCCCCCAGCGGAAACCGAACCTGGGTCTCTCTGGATCGCAGGCCAACATTCCAACCGCTGAGCCAAACTGGCCAGGGCTAATTTGATTCTTGAATAGTTTTGATCACTTTTGTTTATTGAATCCTATCCAATGGTCCCTTAAAAGATCATTTATAACCAAAGCTTAAAATGGCAATGTTCTCTAAGTCCTAGAAGGTATAATCTAAAACCAAACCAAGTAGATTCACTATATCTTAGCAAAATACTGAACAGTTCCCACTCAACTCTTCTTATAGCAGCATGCAGACTTAATGGGGGGAAATATGCCTCTATATCTCTTTATGCCATGCAATTATACATGATAAATGAGGCATCGGGATCAGTGAAAGGTCAAACACATAGGTTGGAATCCATGGATTGATTTAAATTAAATAATGCTCTAAAGGTCAGTATTTAGATGGATGAAGACTTATTCCTAAAAAATGTACATTAGAAGGACCCCACAATTGTATGTAGTTCCTACGGTGGATACACCCACACATATACTCACAATAAATGCAAGCTGATCTCTCTGCTAGAGAAAAGTTAAAAGGCTCTCATTCATTTATAAAAATATTGCTGAGCCCTGGCCGGTTTGGCTCAGTGATTAGAGCTTTGGCCCTCAGACCAACGGGTCTTGGGTTCAATTCCTGATCAAGGGCACGTACCTGGGTTGCAGGTTAGATCCTATTTCTGGTCAGGTCATGTGGGAGGCAACCAATTTTATTGTTTGTTTCTTTTTAATAAATCCCCACCTGAGGATTTTTCCTTTTTTTTTTTAGACAGAGTGGAAGGGAGGGAGAGAAAGAGAAAGAGAGAGAGAGAGAGAGAAACATCGATGTGAAAGAGACACATCAACTGGCTGTCTCCTGCACAACCCCGACCAGGGCTGGGGACCAAACCACAACCAAGGTATGTGCCTTTGATTGGAATGGAACTTGCGACTCTTTGGTCTGAGGGTCAACACTCTAACCACTGAGAAAACTGGCCAGGGCTGGTGTGTCTCTTTTATATCAATGTTCCTTTCTCTCTCTCTCTCTCCCCAACTCTCCCCTCCACTCTACTTAAAAAATCAATGAAGAAAGTTTCCTTGGGTAAGAATTGGGAAAAAAAAAATTACTGAACATCTACTACGTGCCAGGATCTACGTAACTCTAGGTAGATACAGTGATAAACAAGCCACCTACAGTCTATGCTTTCATGGAACTTCCAGTTTAGGAGCATGAGAAACATATGTCCATCTTTAAGCTTATAAAGAGGATAAGGAATTTCTCATCAAGATACAACATAAACAACTGCCCTGGCCGGTTTGGTTCAGCAGTTGGAGCGTTGGCCTGCAGTCCAGAGAAACCCGGGTTCGGTTCCTGCTAAGGGCGTGTGCCTAGGTTGCAGTTTGTCCCCGGCCCTGGTTGGGTCATGCGGGTGGCAACCACTTGATGTGTCCCTTTCACATCAATGTTTCTCTCTCTCTCTCCCTCCCACTCAATCTGAACAAAATATCGAAAAGTGTCCTCGGGTGAGGATAAAAGAAAAAAAAAGATACAACATAAACAACTATCAAATAGTAATAAATCCTATGGAAAAAAAAAATTAAGAGAGCAAACAGTTCTGGGAATGAAGGAATTGCTGTTTTATTTATTTTTTCTTTTGTTAATCCTCACCTGAGGATATTTTTTCCATTGATTTTTAGAGAGAGTGGAAGGGAGGGAGAAAGGGAGAGAGCAAAAGGGGTGGAAAGAGGGAGGAAAAGAGGGAAAGGGAGTGAGGAAGAGAGAGAGAAAAAAACATTGATGTGAGAGAGACTCATCAATTGGTTGCCTCCCAAACAGACCCCAACAAGGGCCAGGGATTGAACATGCAACCCAGGTACATGCCCTTGATCCAGAATCAAACTCAACAACCCTTCGGTGCATGGGCTGATGTTCTAACGAGCAACACTGGCCAGAGCAGGACTATGCTATTTTATATATGTTGCACAAGAAAAACCATTCTGCTCATAGTCCTAAACTAAATGAGAGAGCTAGCACAACAGATATCTGAGGGAAAAGTTTTCCAGGCAGACAGAACAACAGTGCAGAGCTCCTGAGGTAGAAGCAAGCTTGACATATTCGAAAAACAGCAAGGAGGCCAGTGATGTTGGGGCTGAATGAGTAGAAGTGAGAGTAGTAGGAGATGAAGTAAGAAATGTAAAAGGAACTTAGATGATATAACAGCAGCCTATAGGCCACTGTAAGGACTCTGGCTCTTACTTAGTAAGATGGGGAGACACAAGAAGGTTTTGAGCAGAATAGTATCATCTGTCTTGTGTCTTGTGTTTTAAAAGGCTCACTCTAGTTGTTGGGTTGAGAAGAGACAATTCAAAGCAGGCAGGGGTAGAAAGAAGTAAAAAGATCAGTTGGAAGACTATTAAAATAATCTAGGCCAGAGATGATAGTGTCTTGGACAAGGGTAATAGCAGTGCAGACACTGAAAAATGGTGGAGTTATGAATATATTTTGAAGAAAGAGCTGACAGGATGTGCTAATGGCCTGAATAAGGATATGAAAAAAAGAGACAAAATTAAGATGATTTCAAACTTTTTATCTTAAGCAATTAGAAAAATGGAATTGTCATCTATTAAATGAAGAAGGCTAAATTAAAAAAATATTTAAACAGGAAAAAAACATTTTGCTTTTAGACAGGTTAAGTTTGAGATGCCTAGTGAACATCTAAGAGCAGGTAATCCAGCTCTTAGGAATCTAAAGTTCAGTAGAAGGTCTGGGCTAGAAGTATAAAATAGTCATCACCCTATAGATGTTATCCGAAAATGAGCACAGCTGAATAACAGAAAAGGTCCAAGGTCTAGGCCCTGGGGTACATCAATGTTTAGTGCTTAAGGAGACGAGAAAGAAGCACCAAAGGAAACCAAGAGAGAGCAATTACTGAAGTGAAAGGAGAACTAAGTATGTTATCCTAAAAAATATTTATTTATTTCTAAAAGACAATTTTTTAAAAAGCATTTCAACAGGGATAGGGAAGAAAAAAGGGAGAAACATCTGTAACAAAAATAAACTAAAAAAACAAGCATTTCAACAAAAAGGAAATAATCAATTGGGTAAATGACTTGGGGCTTGACAAAGTAGAGATCACAAAGTGATCCTGATAAAATGGTTTCAGTGGAATGGTAAGGATGGAAGCCTAATTGGAATGGATTAAAAAGAATGAAAGAAGATGAAAAAGAATTGCCTATAGACAACTGTCTTGAAGAATATTGCTCTAAATAAGAGCAGGAAAATAGAGAAATAGCTGGGAAAAGATACAGAATAATAAAAGGAAATTTTATTATTCTTAAATGGGAGATAGTACAGCATATTTATATATAAGCTAATGAAATGACTCATTCGAGACACGAAAATTGTTGATCCAAAAAAAGGACAAGATAATTCCCAGATGCCCTGGCCGGTTTGGCTCAGCGGTTAGAGCATTGCAGTCCAGAGAGACCCGGGTTCAGTTCCCGCTAAGGGCACGTACCTTGGTTGCGGTTTGTCTCTGGCCCTGGTTGGGTCGGGCAGGTGGCAACCACTCGATGTGTCCCTTTCACGTCGATGTTTCTCTCTCTCTCT